ATATCCTTTCGGATTTAACTATTATCACCCAGGTTACACAGTAGTGCCGTTTTTAAATGCAATAATAATCAAAAGTCGGTGTTTTTCTGTATACGATGGAATAGGACATGCGCCCTTCTCAAATGGCCTGTACCCTTGGACCCGGAGGTACGAGGCAAAACGTTACGCTTTTATAAAATCCTGCTAACAGTTTAGCAAATGAAAAATAAAGTTGATTTCATAGCTCTCAAATCTGATGGATGTATGTATGTGTATATATATATATAATTTCACAAAAATTAATGTAACCTCGCAAGCTCCTCGATCACCTTCACTAGATCTTCAATTGTACACTCGCGGGTCTCTGGGTCAGTCGGGTTAGTTGAGCTGACGACTCCAAATTCGTCAAAACCGATCTAAATGGAAAGAGGAAAATGTGCCAATTACGTCCAGTAGTACATGTGAAGTCGAATGAACTTCCATAAGCAAATACCATGGGCAGTAGCCTAATTAAGAAATAGATGAGAAATCTTGCCACAACCAAGACTGTTGTGTCTTGAACGCAACCTTTATTAAAAAAACTTCTTTGGAGAGATTATTGCAAAATATAAGGCTTTTTATACTAGCTATCAAGGTGTGAGTAAATTGAGGTTTGTGTTAATGTTAATAGTATACCCTCATCTGGTCCCAATGCTCGGCTATTGGTTTAGAAATATTTAGGAAATCAATCGGGATGAATATGCATTTCGAGGCTTGTCATCAGTTTAATATTAGTATTAAAACATTGGGAGAATGGGAAGAAGCATGAAGTCCTCAATAAGCCAAATGCCGGCCCTGACGAATCTGAGCCATTTAACTGGCACAACTATTTGGTAAGGAAGATTTAATCTTCAACTCAATTTTGTTTCCAACGTATTCAGAATACGTATTATGGCATAACTCAGTTACTATTACAGCCATTACCTGACTTAATTGATAGGCCAAGGCGCCTATCCAAGATACCTTTGCGAATGAATATTCAGGCCTATGATACATTATATTAAAAGAATTTGTGATGAAAAGATATCAATTTCAAAGCTCATTAAGTATTAAGTTATCATCGACGATAGGCCTTTAATTCGCAATTTTCCACAAAAATACAAATTGATTGAGTCCCAGAATTATCATGTAAGTCCGATAATAGTAGAACAAAATGGAATATATGAGAACAACTAAAGCAGCCTATATGCAATGTAAGTATTTCATGTAATAATTGAATACTTTTCCTTAAGCAGGCTAACGCAGATAGTAATGGTAATCAACTATAAATTTAAAATCAAAGATATAAAAAAACGGATATCACAAGACGTACCGGTATCCTCAATCCCTTAACCAGTCGAGCCTTATCTTCACTAGTCAGGTCTAGTACAGTTTCAATAAGATCGCCATCTACAAAGTTCTGTGCCATTTTAACCATTCGTTCTTCCTTAAATGCTCGCCATGCGTGGTGCGCGAATCCGCCAACTGGAACAACTAGGTCAGCCAACCGTGATTCAAGCTCCTTGAGGAAAGCAAAGAGGATCGGTGAAACCTGGAAGATGAGACCCAAGCTACCTTGAACTGAACCGTACATACATCCTGATTGCCCGACGGCCGGCCAGCGTTCTTCAGGATTCTGCATAACTAGGTTTCCTACATAAAAATGTAAATAGAAGAGAATCCATTCAAATTCAAGCATAAAAACACTTACGAGAAGACAAGTTGGCCAGAGACAGAATGTTTAATAAATGATGGCCATGAACAAAAGAGGAAAGTAAGAGTGAGAATAGAAGGCGTAATATGGTGGAATATCTATAGGTAAATGTGATAATACTGGCCTGGGTGAGTGGGGAATTAATAATAATAGATTCAGTGTAAATTTGAGCTGCATAGATCTTGGGATACGAGAATATGGGGGTAAAAATAAAAAAAATGTAGACGTGATGGCTATTTAGAAGGCAAGTCTAATGAGAAAAAGCAAGTTTAAGAATGATGAGAAGTTGAAGAATGTGGGAGAAACTAAGAAAAAAATACAATGAAGGTCTGATAAATCTGAATGCTGAAACACGCTCCTCTTATAATCAATAATTCAGATATAAATAAGGAAATAGTGACTGAAGCTTAAGAGACAAAGCAAGCAGAGTTTTAATTTGAGACCACTGAAAAAGTTGAACAACATGGACTGAGTTTTGTTGTAAACAGCGATGACGAAAACAGATAAACTCTGCCAATAGAAGGGTAATTCAGATATGCGAAAGTAACTACTATTGAAAGGTAAAAATACCAAGATAAGATATTAAGAGGTCATGCTTTCAGTCACTTAGGAATGAAGCATCATTAATTTTATGGAAATGGGAAGACGAAATTAGATAATAACTAATTGATCCCTATGGAGAAAAGCCTCTATCATATAAATCATACGAAAATAAAGATGGGGCAATGGATATAGACTAAGGAAATCGGCACAGAAAAATAAAGAACGCTTAAGGGGTTGACTCAACGATGCTAAGGTCTCGATTCGAAACATGATGAGGTAAGTTCTACCTAGGACCCTCAGCTCCCTATAAAGGAATAGCAAAAGAAGAAAGTTTATCGCGTGATTATTTGTGGGAAAGAATTCTCTAAAAAGAATAAATCTATAGAGGTTGTTTGACCTTGTTTTAGCAACATGGTCATATTGGTAGGAAGACTTATTGGAACGTACCTAGTCCGGGGTCCATTGTCTGCATGATCATTTCCAAAGTTGAATAGTAGATGTAGTATATTCCCAAACGTTTCGCCGGCATCGTAGTCGTCATCGTCAGTGAATATTGCCATCCTAAGCACCATACAGCAACTCGTCAAAGAGACAAGTGAAACCGATCCTTTGACAAAACGTATGCTAAACAATTATGGTACCTCCCCTTCTGCCCTGGGTTATTCGCGTTTCCGGTAGAATCCTATCATGCCTTCACTATTGCAATTTTTAACGTGTTTATTTAGATATTGTGGTGTGTTCCTTTGAGCGACATCACACTTTCACTCTCATTCTCACCCCCCCATCCTTGTGCAGGGAGTGTTGATCAGAGTCTGCTTTATTATTATGCAGTCCTCTTCG